ATCGATACGAATATCGTTGCACCCCTAGTATCTACACATAGCAGACAATCATTTTTCAATTGTATCCTGAGGCAATTTGTTACTAACAGCCTGTTGCAAAAACAAATTTGCTCCAGTTAAAAAGTTTAATCTTTTAAAAAATCCCAAAGAAGAGCTATTTGGAAAACTGTAGAAGTGGAGGATAAAGGAAGAGGTTATAGGCCTTAAAAAACACACACACAAACAAACAACAACTTACACCAGATGAACAAATATCCCACGAATCCCCAAATTTCACAAGAACTGGATTGAAAGTCAGTGGGGACAGGTCTTATGGCGTAATGAATCCAAATTTGAAATTTTTGTTTAAAATTTCTGTTGGTATTGATGGAGAAGGAAAAAGAGGTTCAACAATGTCTACAGCCATCTGTAAAACATGGTGGAGGCCCTGTCATGCTTTTCAAGCTGCACGTCAGTCAGTGGTGTTGAGGATCTTGTCAAAATTGATGAAATTATGAACCCAGAAAACTACGATCGGATTTTGCAATATATCTAAAAGGCAGCCAAAATCCAAAGAAATGAGTTATCTGTGTTTCATTAAAAATAAAGGGGTAGTCTGCCTTTAAATGAATAAGAGAAGAAAAGGGAGTAGAATACTGTCCAGAAAAGGTGTAATGATGTCATCCAACAGTTACACAAAAGCATTTACTCTTTGCTTTTCTAAATGGTGAGGTAGGTGTAGCATCCAAAACTTAATATGTGACTAATTTCACAAGGAGATTGTTATTTAGATACAAAGATGTTTGCCTAAAACCTTCTTGGCATTGTCTTTTAATTAGGATTCCTTAATAATTAGATTATTTTGTGATATTAAACCACTGGTCTGTGGTTCATTTAGTAACAGGCGTGATTTCACTTTCGGACCGTCTAGTGCAGTGTTCGACAACACTTCCAAATAAGTTAATTAAACAAAGATGGGGCATCGTTTGTTGTGGCTTGGCACTATAAATCAAAATATCCTCTCTGTACAGTGATATTATGAGAGTCCTGTTTTGTATTGTAGCAGTTAATATGAGGATCTGCTCAGAGTTTCTGTCCGCTCTAATGCAAGAACAAATAGTTGGGGGGGAGAGGGCCGCTTTCCAAGGACGTGCTAAGTAAAGGAATTTCTGATGACGTAGTTTAAATTGTTAAACAAAAAATTCAGCCTTGGAGCTTTTAAACTGTGCTTTAAATCAAAAAATGCACTTATCATCATTATTTTCTTTTTTAATAATACAGCGTTTGGTCCAAACACTTGTATTTTGGGGCAGAAAAAGTAAGGAATAACCTATTTGGATGATCAATATGTCCATTACCTTTGTGGGTCTTGGTTGTGATGCCTCATTGTTTAAGATTGTGTTCTCACTCCTAATTAACTACCATATTCTGAATTAAAGAGCACTGAAACTCACACTTTTGCATTTTTATTTCTTCAAACTGAAACAAATGAGTTAGCACATTGACTCTCTAGAGATCACACTGCTTCAAACATCATTGTTATGACTGCTGGAAGAGAAGACTCTACTCTTGCGCGC